ATCAAAGTTTTTTTTTTTTTTTTAATGGCCTTTCTAAATGTATATAAAAACTACGTAAAGCGGACGTTTTTAATTAGGTCAAGAGCTCAGGTAGTGTGCGCCTCGTTTAATCTAAAACCCAATACCAGATAGATACTTTTACATATTTTTAAAAAAAAAAAAAAAAACTTATTTTCATGCTTAGTTCCACCACCACGACGACGTTTACGATTTAAAAATTATTTATATATGGCATCATAACAAAAACATGAGCAACAACAACAACAACAACAACTTTTTATTTTATTTTTATTTTTCATGGATTTAAAAAAAAAAAAAAAAAAAAAAAAAAAAAAAAAAGTCAAGGAAGTGATATTATCAAAACGGAGAATTTTTTTTTTTTTAAAACAATTATAAAACCACGTTAAAACATATACTTTTTTAAAAAAAATTTTTTTTCTTTTTGTTTATTTGGTTTTGCATTATGGTAAACACTTCGTAAAGGGCAATGGCCTAATGAGGACGTTGGGAATTTTTTTTTTTTTTTTTTAAATTTTCTTATGATCGAACCAGAAAAAATTCTCGCGTACGGCAGACAACAAACGTTCGTTATACAACTTTAAATGAAACAAACAAATGCCCAACATTTTTTTTATTTAAAATAGTTTATAAAAAAAAATAAAAAAAAAAACGCTCATGGAGAAGAAACTAACAAACTATTAATTTAACATATCGTTTATACAAAGTGGAAACTTTTTGTTGTCTGTGGTGTAATTAAATTCTGCAAGTAGGTAACAAACACTTCCTTTTTCAAGATGAAGCCAATGACCGAGATAATACCGAGTCCGTACTAAAAATATTTAAAAATTTTTATTTTACTTTTTACAGAGTGTGCGAAACGTATCCAGTTTAGGATAATTCCTTTGTAAGTCGATAATAATTTTTTTTTTTGAAACGGCCTAACGTATAAGAAATACCTTTCTCAAAAATGCTTTCAAATTATACTCTACTTTTAAAAAAAGTAAAATCAAATACTTTTAGTAAATTCAACAAACAAACAAACAAAAAAAATAAAATAAAAAATAAATATAGGCAGACAAACGAAAGCGGGGTTTTTTTAAAAAAAAAAAATATTGTTTTTAAATGTTTTTTTTTTTTTTTTTTTTATCGATTCGAATCCGATAAATTTTTTTTTTTCGTGTATAAAAATGCGTAGGAGTGTTTTTTACTATAAGTTTTTCTTCGGTCGATTACTAACAACAAGTTTTTAAAATGATAATTTGTAAAACAAAAAAATTAAAATAGTTTTTAAAAAATCCGAATAAAAATTTTTTAAAAGAGCCCCCCCCCCCCCAATTAATAAACGCGTAGAATAAAAAATAATAATCCTTCGCCTGTTGATTATTTCCACGTACTACTACTACTACTAAAAAAAAAAAAATTCTTCGATATTAAAATAAATCTGCTTTTAGTTAACAAAAAATAAATAAAATAAAATAAAATAAAATTATTTATGTAGTCGAAAGTTACAAAAAAAAAAAAAAAAAATGAGGGAGAGAGAGAGACGAGAAGAGAAAAAAAAAAAAAAACGAAAGCCTAAAACACTTTCTCCTTATAGATAAAAGTATCAAAACAAAGCTAACGTGCCGATAAAGGCATTGAATGGTCAATTTGGCAACGTCGCCATTGAAAACCCTAGTGGAATGTTTCGTGATTCGGTCGCGTGGCAGCGACACATAGCAGCCTTTAGCTTCCGCACTCTTCATTTGCAATTTATTTTTATTTTTAATTTCATTCTTCTTTCATTCCCCCCTCTCTCTCTCTCTCTCTCACTCTCAACCGACTAACGTTGCAACTTTACCAACTAACTCTCTCGCTCACTCGCTCTATACACCAAAATTAACTAATTTAAATGCTTTTAAGAAAAAAAAAAAAAAAAAAAAAATTTCAATTGTAATCTGAAAAATAAAATTGGCCTAATTTAAATTACGTAAAAGAATTTTTTTATATTCTTCTCATTTTCCTCGTACGAGAATTAAAATCGTGTAAAGACCAATGATTATGATGATGTCGATAATGATAATAATAATAATTACGACGAAGATAATTTCAACGCAAAAAAAAAAATACAAAATTCGATCAAAATTTATTTTTTTCTATTGGTAAAATAAAAACAGTTAAAAAATTACGCTCGAGTAACTGTCAGTGTGGCACTCGACCTCGTTTTCACCACGAAACTATATCTGCCCTAGTTTTGTCGAAAAAAATAATGCAAACTTCTTCAATTTTTTTCTTCTTTTTTTTTTTTTTTTTACTCGTAAAAAATAAGTAAAATTGTAGAATTCATAAGAAATTATTATTATTATTATTATTACGTTAACAGAAAAAGAATATATCACACAAGAACAAAAAAAAAAAAGAAAAAAAAAGTGGCACAAGAAATTTTATAACTTGATAGCAGCAAAAGCAGCAGCAGCAGCAATTAAGCTCCCAAACTAAAATTTATATAAATTTTTTTTTTTTTTTTTTTTTTTTTTTTTTTTTGGGACGACAGGAATTTTATTTAGAATGATAAATTATTGATGTTTATCATATTCACGCAAAATAAAATAAAATGTAAAAAATATCAATAATAATAATAATAATAATTAATCTGTTTTTTGTTTTTGTGTGACTACTTAATATTAGTTTTCTTTTTAAACATTCACTTCGAATTAAATATCATTCAATTATATTATAAATTAATCAGCGCATGACGCATTTTTTTTTTTTAATCGAAAAACAAAATAAAAATTACCTAGAGAAAAAGTATAACGCGCCATTTATGTAAAATTAAAAAAGAAGATTGATTATTATTATTAAAATAAAAATCAAGCTCCCACTTTTTTTTTTTAAGTGTTTTAAATTTTTAGGACAAACCATTCGCTCATACTCTATGAATTACATTCCACAAAAACTTTTTCCAATTCGAATTATGTATACATATAGTCGACTACATTTGACTCAATGTTTATTACAATTAAAACAAACTAAACACCAAAAAAAAACTTATATATAAAAATTTTTTTTAATGTGGAACCCATTAGGAGTGAATAAAAAAATTTTTCTCGCAAGTTTAACTTATGACTCTTAACATTTTTTTTTTTTTTTTTTTTGGGACTCAAGAACCAATTTTAACTTCATTCCCTAATTATTTACACAAAATTACACCATTTTAAGTAAACTTTTTTAATTGTGACAATAATTTCGAATTAAAAAATTCAACTTTTTTAACTGAAATTACAATAGTCGAATTACATGTCCTTCATAATTCCTTTATTAAATTCAAAACTCAGATTAAAAAAAAAAAAAAGGCCACTTTTAAAAAGAAAAGAAATTATTTACATTTTTTTAAATGAGATTAAACTCCCAATATTTTCAATTAAAAAAAAAAAAAAAAAAATTTTAAGGTATGACATGGTGAAAAGTATTCAGTTTTGTTTTTTTCGTTTTAATTTTTACAATGGCTGAATGCTTTGCACAATGCAAAGTTTTGTTGAGCAACAAATAATAAAACATAAAAACTATGAATCTGAATATAAATATATATATATATACAACCTTGTAATGTTTTCAAATGAAACTACCTATAAAACAGGCCAGGAAAAAAAAAAAAATAAAAAAATTATTCATTCTTAAAAATGGTTTTTAACTTCAATAACATTATTAAAAAATTTAATTTTTTCCTTTTTTTAAATTTTCAATTTTCCTATCCTTGAACTTAAACTAAATTTTTTTTTCTTTTTTAAATATTAAAACTTTCACTTTAAAACTCAAATCATAAATAAAATCATATAAAAATTTATTTATTTTTATTCATAACCTATTAATATTATTATTATTACTTTGTTTTTTTTTTGTAATAGAATGTTAAAGTGATTTTATATTTATAAAAATTTAAAAAAATGGTAAAAAAAAAACCACTGAAAACAAAGAATATACCGTTTTATCTAGAAAGAAAAAAATCCTAATCTTTTTTTAATGAGTATTCCTATCAAACGCAAACGGTAGTTCAATGATGTTGTCTTTGAGCATTGAATGTAAAACTCAACAAGGGCTTATAAATAACTAATTTTATTTCGACTTGTCGGAATTATTATTATTATTTTTTCGAACGTATATTGTGAATAAGTAGAAAATTTATTAAATGAAAAAAAAAAAAAAAAAAAAAAAATCCTTGAAGAGGCACGAGAAAAAGCACTTGGCCCGCTTGCGTCTTCTGTTTAACCCGCTCACATCAGGTGAGGGGTGGACAAAATGGCAGATGACCTCAAACGAGAATAGGCAACATTGCAATCTTACTCCATTTTCACTTGTCTTATGTCATTATCAGTACTCACAACACTAAATACAACCTGTACAAGCTTTATAATATAAAATATGTTAATTTTACAGATTACAACAACCTTGACAATCATTTTAAGTTATAAAAATATTGCTTTTAAATATATGGGACAATGCTATGAAAGGATAAAGATCCATCAACTCTAACCGGGATCCCAATAAAAACAAGAATAATTATATACGTTTACGGCTTACGCATTATTCCCTTGCCATAATACGGAAATATAGGAATTTTAAACTAAAATATTAAACAATTGTTAAAACGAAGTAAAATATGGGGTATAATCGTTATTTTCGACTCCATCTTCTTACGCTACGAAACAAGTTCTGGAAAGCCACTTACTAAAGCAAAGAAATTCGTATGACAATCCTCCAAACTAGCTCCGTTTGTTTGGTGATTTTGATGCGTCATATTAATCCCATGGTATCCGTTTAGATTTTAATCACTTTTCACACTTTATTCTTGAGTAAAACACTTAATAACATAAAAAAAACGCAAACATTTCACTTGGTTTTCACCTTTCAATGGCGACTGCAAAATGGCGGATACGAAACAACAAGCGCAGTGCTTCAAACCACTGCATTGGTCTAAATTAGTCACGTGTCTCTTGGAGTAAATTTGACGTCACGCACGTGTAATGGCTTCCTTAAGAGTCGGCTATATTTATAAAACGCCTGAACTTTTTCAAAAATCATCGTTTATATGTCATAACGTGAGTTAAAATCAAATCTGTAGCTTTTATTTAATAAATCTTATTAAAATTTAATATATAAGTTTATTTTTAATTAATGGAATACTAAAATATCATTGAAAGTTTAGGTACATGGTTAAAAATAATACTGTATTTATATTTACAGATTTTTAGATACTCATCGAAATTACCAAAAAAAAAAGTTCTAAAGGAAACTATTAAACACAGGAATTTAATTTCTTCGACCTGTCAGTCTTTAGCTGATAGAGGTTTTCTCAGATCTCAGAAAGCATACGATCCGCCAAACGATGTCGAATCAAAACTGTCTGATATTTGTAAAAGGGTGTTAGGATTAAATTATAATGTGGAAGAAGAAATAACCATAAAAAACAAATATTTGTTATTGAATGCATGTTTCGAAGAACTTGGTCATTGTGTTCCAAACTCTGATCTATTCAAAATAAATAACATTGCTAAAATAATTGAATTTTATAAAACACCAGTTAAAACAATAACACCATATGAAGAATTAAAAAAGCAAAATTTACCTCCAAATTTACATGTTCAACAAGATTATGTTAGATTTACTGAAGACACCAGTGATTATTTTAAGGGAATCACAGCATTTCCTAAATCATCAACAATAGTTACTAGTCTTAAATATAAATCAAAATATAAAGGTTACAAAGCAGATCCAATTAATAATGCTCCATTTGATAAAGAAGGACATTACAAGGGCTAAAAACAATTATTATTATTACTAATTCACTCACTATTTGTTTAAAATAGTTTATGTATAATGTAAACATTTTTTTTTTTACATTAACATTTTCAAATAAAGAAATAGTAAAATGAAAACAAAATTAGTAACAAAAAAATAAATAACACTCAATAAAAGTAATAAAAATATACTTTGATTGTTACCCTTTTCTGATGGTATTCATTTCAAAATTTTTAATTTATAAAAAAAAAAAAATTAATTAAATAAATACAAAAAAAAAAGTATACATACATTCATTATTTAAAAAAAAAAAAAATTCATTCCTTTTTGTTTTAAAATTACATTGAATACATCATATTAATTACAAATCATTGAATTCATCAATTATAATCTGATCTTATTCATTTAATAAGTTTTCTTAAATAAAATGATAAACTTATTTTCTCTTTCAATAAGTTTAAGTAAAATTTTTTACTTTCTAGGTTTGAAAATCCCTTTTTTTAAACTTTTTTCTCCTGCAGTGGGCTGAAAGAAATTCCAAATATTTCATTTATTAAGTGAAAATCGTGGAAAATAAAAAAAAATTTTTTTTAAAAACCGACTTACAACAACTCTCGTTCCGAATAACATTCTTGCTTTGTCTTCTTCCTGTGGAGAACCTTCTTCTTTGTTTCTTTTATTCGATTTTATTTGCAATTTTTGTTTGATCGCCTGCGATAAAATCACTCGTCTGCTATCGGTTTTCATGGCTAATAATAAATCTAACCACGTCCAAGTCACGTTATGGTATTCTAATGTCGGAATCACTAAACTAAAATCCCTGATGTCTTCAAGATTTTTTTCCTTGCTACCTTTATAACTCACTCGAACGGGTACTTCCGGAATTTTAATGTAAATAAATAATTTATTTTTTTCTGCTCGTTCCTAAAAATTTAAAAAATTTAAAAAGGTAATTGTAATTTTTTTAAAAATAAAATTCGATATACCTTCATTTTTTCAACGTCGTCGTCAATTTTCACATAAAAATTTGTCTCTTTTCCTTTTTTGTTTCCGGCTTTGCTTTTCCTGCTACTATTTTTTTGATGATCGTCCACATCTTCCAAATTATCTCCTTCGATAGTGTCCGGATCTCGTCCCGGAAAACAAAATGCAACCATGGTATTGTAAAATTTTTTAGTGAGTCCGATGGTTAGGGGAGCAACGTTTATTTCAAAATGTTCTTTCACGGAAATCCCACCGACCGGAGCTTTTTCCCGACAATAAACTCTTACCGAACGTTTTCTATCGATCGGCATATTGCTTTGTATTTCAGAAGGTGTTAACACTTCCGTGTAAACTTGATTCGGTAATAAATTCGTCATTCTTACGTAATCTAATTCTAATAGGTGTTCGACGGAATCGTCACTTTTTGAGTTTTTAGTGTACCTGCAAGGAAAACAACATACCTTATAAATAAAATTATTGAAAAATAATTTAAAAAACTGTTCGCTATGCAAAACGTACAAAAAATTTGTTAAAACTAAATCTGCTATCCCTAGCTGACCATCCGCTTCGGTGAGTCTCCATTTTGCGTACTTAAAAACAATTTCGTTAGCTCTGACAGCTTTAGCAGGAACATCAGTTTTCGTTGTGGCCAATCTTTGATTAGCTGACAATTGGGATTCCTTATAACAAGACAACATCATGTCTAATTCCTCACTTTGCGTCGTTAAAAGCTCCTTGCATTCAAAAACTTCGTGGTTGAGATTTTTTAATTCTATTATAAGTTCTTTCGAATGATCTTCCGTTAATTGCTTTTGAAGTAAATAAGCTTCTTTTTCTAAGCGTCTTAAATTTGAAACCAGACTTCTTACTTGATTCTGTAAAACTTGTATCGGGCCTCTTTGGTCTTCGGTTGAATGAAGTGCCAATTGAAATCTCATCCTTTGTAAACGCTCGTATATTTCTTTTCGTTTGGGATCCACGTATAGTAATAAATGGTTAACTATATCTAATATCATGGCATATTGTAAAGAATTTGTACAAACATTTAAATCGTGATGCATAAGAGTGAAAGCGTCGACGGCGGTTTCCTTTTTTTCCCAGGGACCATTTTCTTCGATGGGCAACGGAGGAACCTCGTCTAAAGTATTTGGATCTATACTGGTATCACCGTATCTAGCATAAAAAAATTCGCATTTACACCTTGATACTATTCTCTGTAGTTGAACGGGATTACTTTTCCCTTCGTCTATGCTGCTAGCTCCGACCGTTTCTGTCACAATGCCTCCGACACTCTGGCCACTGCCAACTAAATGAGGCACATCTGGCAAATCCGCTATAACAGCAACCGAACAATCTTTTTCTTGAATGTTGTCCACGGTGACCCACATAATGTTTTCATCAATTTTATCACTTTCTCCAGCCGCCACGGTCGCATAATACTGCATGCACTCTAAAGAACCCACCCACGTAGTCTTCGAAACTAAAGTTCCATCTTTCCAAACGGGACTGTGAATTTTTTGAAGAATTTCTGCTTTCGCAGCACTTAATATAACGTAGCCTTTGGTATCACAGCCTTTCAATAAAACTTGACTATTTACTAAAGCAACTAAAAAATTCAAGATTTTATGTCGGGACGAAGTACTAAATTTTAAATTAGTTATTGAAATTAAAAAAAAAGAAAATTTTACTAAGCCAATTTTTGTGAACAACGTCATCGTCCTGACAAGCTTGTAGGCCCTGCAATTGTTGTCCTGTTGACTGTGATGGTAAATCGTCGCTGTACGCTTCAGGTTTGTTACCCACTTCAGCAATTAACTGTTGCAACATTAAAGCAGCATTACCAGATTGAGTTTTTGTCATTGGGGATGGAGAAGCCGCAGTAATGGCTGTAGCGCTTAAGCTATCGTTCAATTTCTGAGCTCGAGGTTTATTTGAATTATCTCCTCTGAATTGCTTTAATGATTCTGTCGATAAATTTTTTTTGAGTTGCTGAAAGTAAAGTAAGTGAAACGCACATTAAAATTTATAAAAATCCATTATTAAAATAAAACAACATTAAGATTAATTTCATTTTCATTACCTGACTTTTCATAAATGCATCAAACAACGTAAAAGCTACATCTCTGTTTTTTTTGGTCCACGCTCCTTTGAGATCATAGACAACCAACTTGTGTGTGGGTATATCTTTGCTAGATACTCCTCGGTCGGAATTGTTAAGTATATCAGCCGCTCTTTGATGGCGCAATACTGTTTCTCTCACGTAGGATACTTTTGCGACGCTAAGGCAGTAGCATTTTTCAACTGGCTGAGTAAGGCTCAATACTTCGTTTCCCAATCCTTGTAAGGCACTTTTTAACCAAATTTCAACATCGTTTAAGTCACAGTTCATGCATAAAACCGACCACTCTGCTCGTGGCCTGTGTTTTAAAACATCTTCCACTGGCATTATGTTAAGCATGTGTTCAGAGTTAAATGTAATCCTTCCACCGAGTAATTCAAAACCAATTTGCTTTGCAAAAGACATCCAGTAAAAAATTTGAAATTTGTGAAAACCTAATAAAATTCTAACCTTTCTGTAATGCCTACTCAATTGTTTTTTTCGAGATCTAATATTTCGAAATATGGCTCCCCGTTTAGTAGGCCTTGTGACACCTTAAATAATTTTAAACCATATTAACTTTTAAAATTGTTCAATCTTTCTATAAAGCAGTGAACCAGCACTAACAATTACCTGACAAAATAAGTTTAAGATTTTCACACCAACGAAGAGTGCTTCCAAATAGACTAGCATTAGGGCAGTCAAAATCTGGAGATCCGGAATTCGATACCGGTTTAGTATCTAAAGAAAGACTGACATTCAAATTTTGAGACCGAAATGCTCTGAAGGAGTCGTGCTCTTGATTACTTGAATACTCTGGTAGTTTATTAGGTGCACAAGGCATTACAGCATGATGATCGTTGGGATCAGCTAAACAAACCCAATGCATTTTTAAAGTCAGTTTTAAGTTTGGAAGGTGAAGTAAACGACGATCGTCGTATTTCGAAGCCGTTTTTACATTAACGTCAAAATCTCCTTGAAAAATAATCTTAGCTAAAATAATATTATATAAAAATTATTTTTAAAAAAAACTAACTTTTAAATATTTAACAAATAAATTGTAACAAACCGTTGGTCCAATCCATTGCCACTCTTGTCCATTTTAATTCCATTTCTTCCGTTGTATTGTAGGGATCTAAAGAAGCGTGTAAAAGCATGGTTAGCTGATGAACAAACATAGTTAATCGACCGTGAAATAATAATCGCATTTTATCCCAAAATGGAAGTGGAGGACTCGGGTCCTTCGATGGAGGTGAAATTTTTTCAAAACTTAAATTGCATTGTGCAATTACGGGTTCCCAACACGGTCCAAAAGCATAACTGAAGTATTCCACATTACAATTAAAATCGTAATAAAATTTTAAAGCAGTCATCGATCTGTCTATTTCGAGTTCTCCGAAAGGTGCTCCGAGGTCTATAACAACTTCTCTTTTTGCTCTCTTGGTAGCTTCCTGTTCAGCTCCGCACAACCTTCCAAATATGTGAAATGATTTAATATCCATGAGCGGTTGTGGAAAATCTCTAAGCTGAACTTTCCATTCGCTACAGCTAGCGGAGATAGATCGACACCATAAAATTGAAAATTCCAATCCTTCTTCGGGCCATAAACTATGAAAAAAAAAAAAAAATTTTCTTTTAAGTTTTGATTTTTAAATTATATATGTATCATATAAGTTTATTATATTTCCTTAAAATAACACTTAGGTTAAGTACCTATCAGGATCCACTTCTGTCATGACTCTAACTACATTTTCAGCACCGTGAATAGATGGATCTGCTAAAGATATAACTCGGATATCTTTTAAGGACCAAGCCAAAAGACGCGTTCTGGCAGGAGATTGTTTGCTCATTTGCTTGGACCTTTGTATGTATATTTCCGCATTTTTCCTACGCAAACTCTTGTAAAGTTCTTCGATTTTGCTCGCTTGCATGGATAAATGAGTTTTCGATAATTCTGCAACTTTTGCATCTAACATTTGTTCACGCTTTAAACTTTCTTGATATTCATCTTCTAAGAGTTCGTAATTATCTCTCAATTTGACTTCGAAAGCATCGTCACTCATTTCGAATAAAAATTCATTGATTTTCACCAAAAGATCCGGTGGTAATGGACTGTTTACAGTAAAGGAAGATTTTTTTCTTTTGTGGACAAGTTTAAGCCATTTCCACAATGTGACGAATTCGTTTTGTACAGCATCGGCGTAATTATGTTCGTGAGGAAATGAAGCCTTAACTGAATCTGCATTTATAGACCTAAAATTTATTAATTATTAATTTATTCATCATCCCGAAAACAAATAAAAAAATTCCATTTCATTTTTAAATATATTGTTAATAATTACCAGATAACATTTTTACTTAGAGTAAGACCTTCAGTTTTTTTTCTTTCTTCGGCTACCTCGTAATTTTCCAAAACCTTTGAAAAGTTTAAAGACTCGAAAGCAAAAATATGTGCACCATCAATTAAAATTTTAAGCAATGTGGTTTCCATTCCAACAAATTTTCCAGTATTGCCAGCCATTAGATCAGATATAATGAAAACCATTTCGTGAGCAATACCTACAGTCACATGCAAATAAACGCTTCCTTTAACAGAGACTATCCAACTGATGGGTTTTTTCGGTTTATCCGAAGATCCATTATTAACCGTTTCGACATTGTTACCCAATGTGAATTTAAAATTTTGAATAAATTTTGAAAATTCGTTGAGTAGAGTTAAAATTTTTAAATGAAGATTTGCACACCATTTTAAATGAACTTGCTCTTGGATTTGACATGAAATTTCATTGCTATCATGTTTAAATGTAAGTCTGGCAAGCTTTATATGAGTGTACATTGACTAAAAAAAAAAAAACAAACATTTTTAAAAACATTTTAACATTTAAATTTCAATAAATTTAAAAAAATAATAAATAAATAAATTATTAAAAGTAATTCAAAAAGAAAAATATTTAAGTAAACCTTTATTTCATCAGATTTGACGCAGCTATACTGAATTGCTGATGGAATTAAGGATGACATTTTGCTTCCTTCGACAACTACTCCAAATTTACCACGACTACTATCTAAACTTATTTTATCTAACCTGGTCATTAGACATATTTTCTTGCTTGCAATGAAAAATAAATTTATATTGCTTCCAACAATGCTATTAATAAAAAAAAAACTTTTTTCTGGCTGAGTCAATTTTTTTTCGTTTTTATTCTTCATAGTAAATCCATATTCCGTAACGCTTTTTAATATTTCCAATATTAATTGAGAAGTTACTGGACTCCATTCCAATCTAAGTAAGTCTAACATTGCATTTAATTTAATTTCTGATGCTCCTTGACTTCTTCCTTTGATGACAAAAACTCCAATAAAAAATGGAGTACCCCAAGTGTGATACTTTTTTAACATTGGCGGATCCGCATTCAATAGTGAATTATTTATTTTACACCAAAATGATTCAGTTATCCATTCTAAATTCCAATGTTTATCACCAAAAAAAAGTTTTCCCAATGGAGATTCATAAGCTGATCCCCTTAATTCTGTCATTCTATCCAATAATATTTCTGTTCTGGTAAAACCAATCGATGTCAAAGTTGGTTCTTCGGGTAAATGCAACCAGACAGAAACTTTACGAAGTTCGGCTCTACCAGATAATTGGCAACTGTTGCAGAAATTATCAAACCAGGAAGTACTTTTTTTAACATTCATTTTATTAGTTGCTAAATTTTTTGAAACGTTTTCATTCAAACTATTTTGTAAAAAGTTATTTATTACCCAGGGTTGTATTAATTTATGATGGTAATTGATGCAAAAAGTATCTAGTGCCAAATATACAAATAAAACTAATTCCTCATATTTTCCATCAACTGCCAATTTGTTCATTTCGAGAAAATTTTCTTTGTTACATTTCACGATAAAATTATCGATAACCAGAGACAAAAACATTTGGGGAAGTTTTGTCGGAGGTTCCTTTACTGGTTTCAAACTTGTCGAATTATTTACTTGAGTGTTTAACATTAAACATTGTAAACTAGAACTGAAATCTATTTTTTGATTTTCACCCATTCCATTTAGCATTGAATTTTCCACTTTAAGGGTAAAATTTTTAGGTATAAGAGGAAAAAATCTAAAAAAAATACTTTCATTTATACTTGGAGAAATGTGTCCTGAAGATACTGACTTAATATTACTTTCTTGTTTTTTTTTAGAATGAGCCAACTTATAAATTCCTTCATTAATGACAGATTTCACATTTCCTATTTCAACATATAATTTTTCAACTGATAAAGGTCCCTGTGCTATTATGGTACCTTCAAGAGATATTCCAAATGATAATTCCCCCAGGCAAGTTTCAGGACTTGCTTCAACAGCATGTTTTAATAATTTAGCTGTTGTTGAACCAACTGACACATTTACCAAGAGTGTTCGTGCATTGTGAATTATGCTTCCATCTAAATGAAGTTCTGCTGCTGTCGCATGAATCAACCATTCTGGTGATTCTTTTCTAAGAAACATAGCATTTACATTGTAAATGTGTACAGCCATAAACTGAACAAAAGTTAAAATTACTGGAGGAATTTTAGCATTATGAAATGACAGTTTATTCGATAGACTTTCTTCTTTAACTGAAGAAGAACTGCTGATATCTTTATTAATTCTTACATCTTTGACAATTACTGAAACTAATTTTGTAACTTCACTGCTAAAAAAACTGCTTCTAAAATAGATTTCTTCAATAAGCTGGAAATAAATGAAATAATATAAAAATAAACAGAAATGATTTTATTAGAAACTGGAATAAATGAGCAGTTTTGATTAAAAATATCCATCATTTATGTAGAAATATAAAAATTAATTTAAAATTGAATAATAATTTGAAATTCTTTAACAATTACTTATATGGTTTTTAAAATATTGCAAACTAAGTCACTTATAGGTAAAAGCAAATTAATTTAAACAATTACCATTTTGGATACCTTCAAATTTTTAAAACTAAATTAGAAAATACTTACAACAGAAAATCCATTTCTAGATATGTAAACATCGTGCAATACAAAATAAGGAATACCAATTCTTCCAATTTCAACCTTAATCTTATATTTTTGCTTAAATAGCCATGTTAAAAATTTCGGAAATATCCTAAAAGTTATTTAAAAAAATAATTTAAAATTTTGTGTAATTAGATTTTAAGAATGCAAAATTTTGTTTGACAAAAAAACATCACAGTTAATCTTGAAAATATATATTGAAAATTGTATATAAGTAAATACTATTAGATAAATGTCAAAAATTACGAAAGAATTACCAAGAAATGCCAATGTAAATTAAGCATAAAAATATAACAAAAGTTACTAAACCGGTCATTTCATTTTCTATGAAAGCTACATATATAAACAGATTTAACAATCATTTCCAATTTAGCTGTTTTAAAGTAAAAAAAAAAAAAAAAAACTTAAAAAAATTATCATTATTATTCAACCATCTGATTTACAAACGTAACGAATTCTGCTACCACGATGATATACGTACGGTCCTAGAATTTAGAATAATGCTTAGGACGTGTTTATCTATTCTACGCTTTAATTTATAAATTTGGGTCTTCAAAATGGCCGGCTATAATAGAAAAGATTGGGAAGATTTAAATATTACAAAAGAAGAAGTTGAAAATATAACACAAGCATTAAAAAAGGAAGGATTTCGAAAATTATTAGCTGAATATGCTGAAGAAATAACCGATCCAAAAAATAAAAAGCAATTTCAAGAAGACATTATCAAACTTGAAGCCGAACGAGGAGTTGATTGTACTTTTGTAAATCCCGAACCCGGTTTTGTCATCAAAACAAGTGTTGATGGAAATAAGAAAGCTTTTATAAATATTTCTAAAAATAAAGCCGTCGGGCGGCCTGATTACAAACGTGATATCAAAGATAATAATAGAGGATTAAATTGGTCTATTCCGCTATGCCAAGCACCCGGCAGAGAAGATTTTGATAAAAAGCGAAATCGTTGTGTTGTGTACGACGTAATTTTTCATCCCGACACAATTCATTTGACTGAAAAAAATCCGAAATTTAAAGAATTAGTTATTGATACCGCATTAAATGCTGTCGAGGAAAGTTTTAAAGTTCACCTCGACAGAAAAAATCTTAAATTTCCAAAATTAAAATATAAAGGATTACCGAATGCAACGGTTATTAGGAAAAAATCAAAATGTCAGCCAAAATTAAGTGAGGAAGATAAGGAATTTTTCGAAAAAATTAATTGCCCATTCAAGCCTCTTAATGAAAAACAACCCGTCGTCAGAAATATTGAAAGCAAAAAATCGGACTCATCAAAATATACAACTCCAAAATATGTTGTCAAACACCGTACAGGAATTGATTTACAGGAGTTTACCTATGATAAAAATGCAAAAATAAACTGTGCCATTCCTAAAGAACTGATTATTGAAATAAATCTTCCCATGCTTAATAGCACACAAAATGTTAATTTAGATATAATGGAAAAATCATTACATTTAGTTTGTGAAAAACCATCAAAATATAAGCTAGATATTCAATTGCCTTATAGTGTGAGTGAAGAAACTGGAAATGCAAAATTTGATAAAGAAAGAAAATTACTTATTGTAACACTTCCTGTGATAAAATCAAAAATGACTATTAAGGATCTTATAAGAGAAGATAGTGGTGTTGAAAGTGATTTCAGTCCAGTGGGTAGTGTTTCTAATAATGAATATGCAAGCATAGAAGAAGAGAACATTATTAATGATACAAGAGATTCATTTAGTATTGAAGAAGTTGAGGATATTAATGATTATATTTCAAATATTGAAGAGAGTGCTGAGGAAAGTGATAAAGAAAATGAATGCAGGACTGAAAAAAAAACAGAAGAGTTTTTAGAATCAGATAAACATTACATATTACCCACTTTTTCCTGTAATGTTGATGATGATAAAATTTGCTTCGTTTTAAATGTAAAAAATGTTGATGGTAATTCAATTGAAAAAAAACTTGTCAATTCCAGTTCATATCACATTAAATTTGTTTCTATCGGTTCAGGGTTTTTTCCTTCCCATTATGCCTTTTTTATCGATTTTAAAGAAAGTTGCAATATAAAAGATGTGATTTGTGATACTTGGGACAACAATGTAACATTATTGATAGAATTTGAAAAAAATAATGATTGTGTTACTAAATATTATGTTGGAATCAATCAAGAATTTGTCACCGAATACTTACTTAGCTTTCCTTTAGAATTGAAAAAAATTGAAGATTATATTATGAACAAAGTTGCTGAAAATGAAGGAAGTGATGTACCTATTAATATTGAAGTAGAATCTGCTCATCCTGAGGAAGTAGTACTCAATATTACTCCTTTAATTCCTGAAAATTCAAATGATGAAGTTGTTATAGAACAAAAAATCTCAGACTCTCCGAGAAGAATTTTACCTGAAGAAAAATGCAGAACATTTTCAGAATCAGGAGTCGATGAGATTGTAAGCCATTATTTATTTATTTATTTTTTATTATAATTTCTTTTTTAAATTGTAAAATAAAATTTTGTCCTATTTTTTTAAGGTACCAGGTCCTGCTGTGAGAAAAAGTATACTTAAAAAAAGAATCAATAGAAGTTTATCGGAATCGAATGCAGAGGATTACATTTTGAATTCATCTTGTGGTAAATCGTTATATGATGGTTCTGATTTTTGCATAAATGAAGAAGAAGAAGTTCCTCACATTAAGAAAACCGTTCGTTTTAGTGAAAAAATTAGGCAACAACTTTTTAGGTTTGTCATTAACTTTATTCCATATTTTTTTTTTTTTTTTGCTTTCAAAAAAATTTAATCCCTCAATTAAATTCGATTTCATTTGATAATGCGACTGACGAAACGTTCACATTTTATTTTAGAGTCAATTCGACCATATTAGGAAGAAAAAATAAAAATAAAAAGAAAAGTAAGAATAAGAAGAGAGCATTGGAAAGGAAATTGAGCGAAAGTGAAAATTCGGAAACGGAAAACGGTAAGGAAACAAATAGAAAACAAATCAAATCTAAAAAATGTAAAAAACAACCTAAGAAAAAAACACTAATAGAAGACGTTTCTAATTCGACAAACAATGAAAATAATAATAATAATAATGATAATAATAATTGTGATAGCAAGGGTAATAAAAAAAATGAGGGGAATGATAAAATGAACGTGGAATCGAAAAACGAAGATGAAAATATAAATAAAGAAAATGAGGATAAATTAAAATTCGGTTTGAAGAAAAACGATAAAATATTCGAATTTAAAAGCGATTTAATTTTTGATCTTGAAGTTTAAAACTTGATCTTAATACTTAATTGTACAAATAATATTAATAATAATAATAATAATAATATCGATGCTATTATTATAACTGTCGGTGTCATCTTATAAGGGGTAGTTTTAACATAAAAAATGTCGTATAAAACGGATTAGAATTGTATGATTTAATTGAAATTAAAAAAAAGGAAAATTATTATTATTATTATTATTATTATTATTATTGTGGGAAAATGCAGAATTCTTCGATTGCTTTCCTTTTTAAAATCAATAAACAAAAAAAAAAAAAAATTCGATTCGATTCGTTGTAAATTATTGCATGTAAACTTGATTTTTCTTTTTTTTTCTTTTTTTCTTTTTTATTAAAAGTTAATCGTAAATGATAAAATCAATATTCAATCATTATTTAAATCGATAATAGAAGGAGGAAAATGAAAATAATCAATCAATATTTATTAAGGTTATTTAATCATATTAATAGATTTTTAATTAAAATAAAATATAATAATAATGTTATTTATAAAAATTTATAAGTTATAATAATAATTATTATTATTATTCCATCTTTTTTTTTTAATGATTGGAAACGTTTATGTTTTTATTTAAAATATGAAGTTAATTGTAAATCCCCTCCCAGCCCCCCCAAAAAAAAGATATGGGAATTATTTATTTACTTTTATAAAGAAGAATAAAAACTTAGGGTTAATGACTTTAAAAAACTATCATGGAAGGAGGAAGTTTAAATCTAATCTAATTTTTTTTTTTTGTTTTTAACGTGGTAAGCAATAATTTTTATTGCGTGCGTTGTTCGATGTTTCCTATTTAAAAAAAAAAAAAAAAAATCGTTTACTTGTTTAAAAAAAAAAATTTTTATTTTAACACTTGGTTAAATTATTTTAATTGTAATTTATTTATTTATTTTTTAATAAATTTAGTTAATTACTTTTTAACCGTTTATAAAAAAAAAAAAAAAAAGGTGGGAAAAAAAGTAATTTAAACAATTAAAACCAAAAAAAAAACAAATCATTTTAGTAAAAAAAAAAATAAGGGAAAGTTTTTGTAAAAAAATATAAAATGTAAATATTGCGTGTTTTTCGGTAACTTTTTCTCTAAAATCACAAAAAAAATTTTAAACCGAAAAAAAAAACGTCACGCACCTTCCACGTGTCTGCCGGTCAATGAAATCTACAAGGGAATATAATAATAATAATAATAATAACGACACGTTTTAAAAAAAGGTCGAAAGTACAACAACAACGAAAACAAATTTTTTAATACTTTTTCTATTTTTCTTTAAATTTCATTTTAAATCCGATCGTCAAATACAAATTCATATTTAAAATAAATTACGGTTGTTGTTGTTGTTGTTGTTTCCCTCCCCCTTTCCATCCCCCCTTCCCCTTCCCCCCTCAGTTTATTTTTTTTGTTTTAAATCAATAATTGATTACTTTTTATATCAAATTTATTAAATTAATTTTTTATTTTAATTTAATTTATTTATTATTAATTTTTTTTCTTTACGTTCGTAACGTTTCCATCAGGATTTCAAATAAATAATTTAATATTAATAATAATAATGATAATAATAATAATAATTTTTAATTTTAAAATTCGATCGTTATTTTTTATTTTTTCTCTGAATTTTTTTTGATTAATGAAAAAATTTAATAATAAAAAAAAAAAACTTTTATATAAGAAAACTTTTCTTATTTTTTTCTTTTTTACGGGGCGGTGGTGGGGGGAGGGGAGGGGAA